GGCTTTACGAATCAATTAAAAAAAAATATATACATACTAATATTTTATTCTTCTTAGATTAATCTATCTATACATATAAAAATCGAATTATTGAACATTACCTACCAGGGTAGCTGAGTTGCACTTACCACAGCAAGTTACACCCAAAAGGAGTTGAACAATCATAATATTTTTAAGAGTTGCTATTTTTTACTGACAACGAAGTGCACTGGTTCAGCTAGTTAATTTAATATATTAAACTAAACTTTCAACATTTTCTACAATAATTAATAACAGTTCGGAAATTAAATCTCTGATTTTTAAGTTTCAAATATTTGATTTAAGTTTCTTATAGATTTTGAAATCCTACGAGGAATAATTCTTTTAATAATAATTACCTTACCATGAGACATGATATTTTTATTATTTTTAGAACACTTTGTCGGAAGAAGAACTGAAATTGCATTTCGTCAAGCTACCTGTGAGTGATTATGAATTTTGTTTATATTTTAAAATATATTAATATTATAAGAACAATTATTATTTAAATTACATTTTAATCTGATCCATAAAATGAATACATTTTATGTGTATTAGAAATGTTCGAATGTATAACGAACTGTAATAATAATACATCTAATTGTCACTTATTAGTTATTACAATATATTTTAATCATCAGGTTAACTTGAATTTATTTGATGACTGGAGCTTTTATTGGAAAGAACCAATTACCTGCTTAATATATCTAGGCTAACACATTGGTGTACCTATACTTTAATGTTCAAATGTTTATTAAACTGTTCATAAATAATAATTTATATTATTATTATATACATGTGATGTTATAACAATATTAATCATGTTTTAAATAGCTCAAAGAATTCCGAATGAATTCAATGATGACGCTTTTGTACACTTGTTAGCCAATTATAAAGGTAATATTATTTTTATTCCTACATTTTGAACAGTTTTTTTTAATAATAAAAAATTATTTTAACTTCATAATAGTTATAACGTGTATAATTTAATGTTGGCTATACTGAAAGTCTAACTTCAGTTTACTTTATTAATTATAAGCTTTATCTGTAATCAGTATTGTAGAATTGTATTAATTTTCGATATTTTTTATTTTATACTTAACCTCTTTAGATGATCACTAAATTTCTGGTTCTCACTATTCATATTACATAGAATTTTACACCTACTGATTAATATGTTATAAACATATTATGACCATCGTCTCAAATCATTAACCGTTAAAATTGCATTAAATATGCGCTTATTATAATGTGCATTGTATAATTACTTATAATAACAGACATTTATTAATTAAGTTCAGGTATCACTAATGAAATGAAAATGTTATACAATTGAATATAAGATGTAGGTATACTTAACGTTTAAGGTTTTTTGGATATGCTCATGGTAATAAAATGTCAATTTAAGTCATAAAATGTTTATTATAATATTTTTTGTTGTCATTCTAATGCACATTACAATGTACTAAACATACTGTTTATCCACTATGGACCCATTACACATTATAATGTACCGCAATGTGCGTTAAAATATCTCATTACCAGATTATCTTAATGGTAGAAATTTGGAAGGTACATATCCTAACTATGATGGTTGCAAAATGAAAAAGGTATAATTTAAGAAATACAAGAAAAATATTTCTCTAGTGAAATTGTTTTAATAAATTAAAATAACGTCATCGATAGGTGTAAATTATAATTTCTGTATTTTTTTTTATTCAATATAGAATTCACAGGTGAGAACCTATCACATCTTCACAATGTAGAACATACAACGACATCGGTGCAACAACCAGAGATGTCCAATATTTCCGAAATTTACTTTTCCAGGAAATATTTTTTATTGAAGAAACCCCTTTGTATATTGATACAAGAACAATACAATTACGATTATTTTCTTCTGAGTTATCATACATTCCGTAAATTATTTTCTGTGGGAATAAATGGGATCACGAATTTTGAAATGGCTGTACTGAACCTCTTCATAATATGGAGATGTTTGGTTGTTGCACCGACGTCTTGTAAAATGCTTATAAAATTTCATGTTTTAGATAATGGGCGGACCAAAAAATTTAGTTTTTTTTTACAATAATGTGTTTTTTTGTGTCAGACGATACTTTTTGGAGGAGAAAAAATACTTTAATCTTCAACTTTGAATGATATTTCTGATAGAAAAGTTCTAACTAGTTGATACTTTGTTGAATCAAAAGTAGGATTCCAAAATTGTTTTTCGAAATTAATTAGAAACATTTTTAAATAAAGTAGGAAAGCAAGTATATTCAATAAAATTTAATTTTATATAATTATGTTGTCCGCCATAAAATAATTTCCATACAGACTTGAAATATTGACAAAATATTTAATTATGTAGGTACATTATATTTTATAGATATGATACCATTTTTAATATATTTTAGGTATTTTTAAGATATTTATTGACATTTGAAATTTTCGTCTTTTGTATGCTTGCATTCAATTTAAGTTTGTTGAATATATTTTTACTGAGTTAAAATTTAAGGACTCCATTTCCACTTAGTATCGTTTTTTTTTACATTTACACAAGTTTTTTTTATTGAATACAAATTTATCACATTGCTTACAGTGAACTATAATAGGTATATATAATATATATTATATATATATATATATATATATATTATTTTCAGGAGATACTACATATACTGATGATAAAAATCAGTTTAAAAAACAATGCATTAGTAAGTAATAATATGATAGTCATTTATTAGGTGGGTGACCCTGGCACCCCATTGTTCGAATTTTTTATTTTATTTTTTAACCATTAATTTTACTATAATTTGTACCAATTTGTACCAACAATTTAAGAATTTGTACCTAAATATTTCCAAAAGAAAAGTCAAAATTTTGGCTGGGGTGCCAGGGTAACGTTACCCCAGCACCACCATAACTGAATAATGCATTTTATAAACATTTTTTTTTTCTATTAATTGTACTATAATTTGTACCGATTAGTACCACCATTTTCAGAATTTGTACCTAAATACTTCCACTAGGAAAAATCAATTTTTCCCCGGGTATGTCTAAATACGTCACTTCGGATAAAGTATAACTGAATAATACATTTTATAAACATTTTTTTATTCCATTAATAGTACTATAATTTGTAGCGTATTGTAAAACGATTTTCAGAATTTGAACCCAATTATTTCCCTCGGAAAAATCAATTTTTCCGCGGGTATATCTAAATACGTCACTCCGGATAAAGTATAACTAAATAACGCATTTTATAAACATTTTTTTTGGCCATTAATTTTACTATAATTTGTACTGATTAGTACGACCATTTTAGGAATTTGTACCTAAATACTTCCCCCAGGAAAAATCAATTTTCCAGATGGGGTGCCAGTGTAACGTTTTTAACATATTTAACAAAAAAAAATAAAACTGCCAGATTTATTAAAAATATGCTTACTACAAAAACAAAAAATTATATATATAAAGAACGAATAATATCATTAGCCCTGTCATTTTTATCAAATGATATACAACTTGTTAGGGGTATAACATAATTCGACGCAATGGCTACAATAACTTCAACAGCTAAGAAACTATTACATCAGATGCCCTTAGTTAAGTGGCGTTTCACTGTTCATCGTTGAGGTTATCAAGTCGTTGAGACTAGCCTTCACCTTACCTCTTTAAGTGAAGATTTCATCGTCCGATTCAGGTTACTGACTTATGAGATCTAATAGGGAAAACCTGTAATCGGCGTGTTAGCATCTAGTTACACTGCTCAGTGCTCGGTAATACGCCAGGCCACGGCCTGGTGCGGTATGCCTGTCTCCAGCAGCAGTATGCGTGCCACAGCCGTTCTTTTTTTAAATTTATATTGTTAAACCTATCGCAAGTCACGACATACTTATTAATTGTTTCTAGTAAACTAAGTTATCTTTAATAAACTGTTAACAACCAAACTATGAAGTGAGTTCTATCCTGACAAACCCCCTTTAGCTAACATTTCAGAAGTGGGATCCGCCTATTTCATCATAAGAGCCGATCGGATTCGTCCTTAAGTTCTCACCAACGAAAATTCCTCCATCGTGATCGCCTTGAGTTGTAGCCAGTACCCGAAGTCAAGTGCCGACGTCATCGCGTGAGTTAGACGTCCCCACGTAGTTTTTGCTTTTGGCGAAGTTCGTCCCCGCGCACGTGTTTTGCGTGCTGAGTACCAATATTTAACCTCAAAATTCGACTTTGGTTTGAGGTTAACACCGCTATCGCGAACGTGTTATCAACGTTATCGTGACAACGCGATGCAGGATAACAAAAATCCACAAGTCATCTAACCTCCATCGTATATTGAACTGTTAGCGAGATTGACCGAGCGGCTTCAGAAATTAGAGTCGATGGGTGCTTAGGAGCAGTTTTTCCCCGTACCCCGTACTTAACGTTTCTTCGGCGCCAACCTAATCTGTCGACTACAGTATACTTCCTGATGCTGGAACGTTAATATGGCCGTTCACCGGACACAAGCCGTTTAACGAAGTAGAGGACTGGATCAGTTCGGTCGACGGATTGGTAAATGTGAACCAATGGCCATTGAGATATTGACTTTTATACTTATAATCCCATGTGGCAGAAGCAGAGCGTTGTTGGTGTCTGTTGGAAGAGTTCCTCGACTGGGATACTTTCGTCAGTAAATTTCGTATGTAGCATAGGCAGGGCGGATCTGTGGCGGGATTTTGAATAGCGCGTTCAATACCCGACCGAACCCGCGATCGACTACTTCTATGCGAAAATTGGTTTATGTCGCTCTATAGAATTAATTTTTGCCGAAACTCGAGACTACATCCTTGAGTGACTAAGGCCCTAATAGCAGGCAGACTGGGTGTCCGGTCGCGTTCAGACTAACCATGATCAACTGTTAAACGACATCCACGATTGGGAACAACTGCGGGTGCCAACTACTTTTCACTTCTACGACACTGAGCCGTAAGAATGAAATGACGAAAACGCAGCAACGAGGCCAGTCAGCACGGACGTGCACGGTTCAACGGTTGAAACCCGTCACTGAAGGCAACATGAAAACGACACCGGTTACGACCGATGGCGACTACTCAAGGAAGGCATTCCGCACAGAGGTCACCTGTTATAATTGTAGGGGTACTGGGCATATTTCGAGGGATTGTCCACGACATAAACGTCCTATGAAGTGTTCAGGTTGCGGATCTGATGAACATCGTCGAAGGCCGTGCCCTAATGAAGCAACCGGATCGTCAACCGAAACAAACACGCCCCGTCAATTGGCGAACCTTGTCGATTCAACCGCAGTACGGCATACAAAAAACCATTTCACGAAAACCATTATGCTGGACGGTACTCCAGTGCATGGAATAGTGGATACGGGCATTATAAGTGTTCTGATCCGTGACTCGGTCGCACGTAGAGCCAGACAAGTGACATGTCCATACTGTATTCCGTAGGAGATGTTAACCAGCCGAGTACCTGGACGATAAGCGAAACTTAAGTCAAAGTGACTATCGATGGCGTGTTGGCCGCAGATCATTGAGTACGGATTGTCAGGGATGACACGATACCAGTCGACCGGCTCGTGGCTTTAACTACCACATGTTCATTATAAGCGTGGAGCCGAGATGGTTTTCGAGTCCAACACAACAGTGGAAACGGAACAACTGGTGCCGGAAGAGTAGGTGACCTGTAGTTACATGGCTGAAGGATAAGCGCCTAAACCAAGACAACCGATAACCGTCGACGAAATAAAAATCGAAGCTTCATATTCGTAGTCACTAAGTCCTTGGACGAGCTAGGTTGCACCGACATATTAAAGATAGACATCACCGAAGAACCGAATAGTGTACCGGTTAACGCAAGGCCGTACAAAACATCGCCGACAGATATACGCGTGATTTCCAACATACTGTACGAGTGGAAAATGGCCGGCATTATTTCGGATTCTTCTTCTTCGTACGCAAGCCCTGTATTATTGGTTAACAAGGCATCGGGTGAAAAAAACTTTGTGTTGTTTATCGCAAGTTAAACCAGTAAACCGTTGCCCACCCCTTCCCTATGCCGGACATCGACGCTCAGCTGGGATCATTGGTGCGCGGACTTATATTCACTACCCTAGACCTGTAGAATGGGTTCCTACAGATATCGCTTACGGACGAAGCCAAGGAAAAAACTGCGTTCGTCACAGAAGAGACTGTAGCGAGGTTCGAAAGCATGCACTTGGGTCTCAAGGGAGCCCAGGTGATCTTCCAACGTTTGATGTATATAGTGTTCAAGGACCTGAGGGACCCTGGTTTGGTCAACTTGTACTTGAGACATCATCATTCCGTCGAAGAATTGGTCTGACATGCTGGATAGCCTAGGCAAGGTGTTTGAAGCGTTCTCAGGACCAAATTGACTTTAAAGCCGTTAAAATTCACTTTTGGTGTTACACAGCTGGACTACTTGGGTATAATTATCATTCGAGTCGGCTTGAACTATAAGCTATAGTTTTTACTCTGAACCGTTTGCGTCCCTACTTATTTGGCGTACGTTTTACCGTAATCACTGGCTGTCAAGCGTTGACATATTATTTGAATGTCAATAGAACGACTGTTCGAGCCACTCGAAGTATTTTCCGATGTCACTTTAATTGTTCTTAAATTTAATATGGTTATGTAAAAATGATATCACATTGAGCAGTCAGCCAACTATTTGGTTTCATAATATGATGAGATTAGGAACACAGTCGGTCGGCACTATCGTGAGTCGATCGTCGCGAATAAAACGCTGCACCAAGCACGTTTGACGTAGGGAGGCGTACGACTATATCGGCCGGATCTATGTATTATGTATAGCGTGGGTCAGATCGGTTCGGCCACAAGGGCCACCGGTCGCAATAATGTACAGTTACAAAATTGCTCAAACGAATCGTATTGATGACCCGCGTATTTGGCGAAAATTAATAAATAGGTAATAAGCTGCCGGACCATACCTGCGGCCGACTCGTCCGGCATCGGTGCCTTGTTCTGTTCCTAACTCGGCTGGCTGGTCTGTCACAGAACACGGACCGACCGTATGCGATACGGACCTAGGACGACAGAAAGCTGTGGGCGTGGCTTCGAGAGCTGCAGCAGCCAATGCCGCCGGCAACCAGCGTTATCGCTGCAGTTCCACCCCGTTCAATCACCAACCACAGACATTTCATGGGCGGCTCCTGTTACGAGGCGGCGGGCGAGACCAGGCTATAAATTCGAGTGCGGAGCACCAAATCTGGTCAGTGTGTTCAACGGAGCCTCCTGCAGCAAGACCTACCCAGGCAGACTTACACAGAGACTTCATACACATTACCATTGCAAATCAAGCAAACAAAAATTATGATATTTACTTTCAGCGAAAATAAAACAAACACAAAAAATACAGTCCACTCTTAATTATTTTCCTTCGCCGGAACAACGACGAAGCCTCAGATTGAGCGCTGGGTTGAGGTGTTCCAGGAATTTGATTTTTACGTCAAATATCAGCCAGAAACCCGAATGGCACACGTTGACGGGCTGAGACAAGCGGTCGACGACACCACCGCCTACGACAAGTCCGTCGAATCTCAACTTGCCGAGCGTCTTGAGATTTTTACGGCTCTGTCGACGGTAGACAGCGTCCGGTTTATGCAGCAGACAGACGATCAAACTCGAAAAATAATTCGACATTTGAAGTCGCCAAACGAACGACCCAGAGACGAGGAAGCGGAGGTAAACAACTACGAGCTGCACGACGGAATCCTGTATTGGAATTATCGTGGACAAGCGTTACTCATGCCAAAATCAATGCCAAAAGGGGTCGTGATGTCCGCGCATGACTACGGTGGACACTTTTCGGTCGATAGGACGTTAGCACTGATAACTCGAGATCACTGGTTTTTGTGCATTCGGAGATATGTGAGCCAACACATTAAAATGTGGCTAGACTGTTTTACGCATCAACGTCCAGCTGGTAAGCAGGCAGGGCTGCTACATTCGAAACCACCTGGGCGGCGACCGTTCCAAATAGTATACACATAGACCATCTGGGCCCATTCGAGACAACTACAAAACAGAACAGATACCTCTTGGTTATAGCAGATAACCTTACGAAGTACGTACATCTATACCCTTGCCGGACCACAGGCACTGCCGGAGTGTTACGAATTTTGAGTAAATTCATCGACAAACGGGGTGTGCAGGACCGAATCATAAGTTATATAACTATAATATACACCTACTTATTTTTAACTATCGATATAAAATGTAAGTACTGTGCATACGAGGGTATAGAATGTTAGAATTATGGGTTTATAACTTTTTTAGTCTTAGCATGGTCATATTAAATGTGTTTAGTATTGATACCAGTATAAATATATTAATACAAATTGTAAAATATTGTCGATATCAGGGTTTTTTTTCAAGAGCTATAATTTTTAATCATTATTAATATATAGGTATCTCAGTATTGGCTGACTTAAATAACTGAAATATATGATTATAATATTTAATTTGTATAGCAAAGAATGTTGTATCATTTTATACCAAATCATTAACTATTATAATTTTTTTAGAAGATTTCGCAAAATTTGGTCATAGTGTCTACGACAAATGGCAATCAAGTAAGTTATTTAATCGAGCATTTTCGTGTTTTTTAATGAATACTTTTAGGTACCTAACTTAAATACATTCTAAATTTAACATATCATTATTCATTAATAAATAATAATAATACGAATTTGTTACCAAATTCCTTAGAAGTTTTCAAGAAAATCAAAAAAACCACACTGTAGAAAAATTTATATACCTAGCAGTATCGTAGCCAGAAAATATTCTTAAAAAATTGAAAAATTATTATTTCAAAACAACTGCTTTTTTGTTTTTAATTATTATATTCATTTACCTCCTACCATAGCAATTGTATTCACTATTATATAAAAATGTCTGCTAATTGCATGTTTTATATAATAGAGAGATATATAAATTAAATTAACTTTTTTCTAACTTTTAAAATACATTTTAAGAAAAAATGATATGAATTATATTATAATTTTGTATTTATGTAACGGATAGAGTAGGTACGAAAATTGTGTAAAAAAGTGTAGGATAGTACACATTACCCGGGTAAAGTACTATCTACAAGTTACAACTTATCCATATGAACAGTATAATGTACGTATAGTTACATACATTATCCACAATAAATATGTACAATGTGTACAATATGTACAACATTATATTATAGTGTGCTGTGGATAAAGTATGAAATAGAGAAAAACCAAATTATATTAATCCGAGAAAAACATTATTTATTAAGTAAACTAGGTACTATTAAGTTATTATTGTATAATATATTATAATAATTATGGAAATATTTTAAAAATTAAATATACTCCGGCCCACGAGAGTCCATATGTCCAAATACGTCCTAATTGAAAAAAACGAGTGACGTTCACGTATCGTTCACTAAATATAAACTTGATATGGTGAACGAGCGTTCATGAACGACTTTCTTTCCAAACACTGTACATAACTACAATTTGTTAGCAGAAAACTTTTGGACAACAATATTGTATCATTATAACTTATAAGCTTTGCTTTCACGATGTTCTCTGAGTTACAGAAATTTAAACTCAAATACCTATCAATATATTTATAACTTATAACTTTTAACTTAAAACTGCAGTTAAAACTATTGCCAACTAAATTTTAAACTGATGAAACAGACGTCAGAACAGGTTATATAGGCACGTCCAGGCCGCTCTTAATTTAGGTATTAAAGGAGGTAGGTACTTATGAAAAAGTTTATTTTTATTCTAGTTCCAATTTAACTTGACAGCACACTTTTGATGTGGTTATAATATTTAGGTCAGTTTAAGTCCTGAAAAGTGGTCAATAAGATGGCAATATATATCATATTGTTATTGTATTAAACCTGTTTGAAAAAGCTGCTAGATTGATCCAATCTTGGTATGGAAAAAAAAATCTATCACAATTGATTTTAAAATACACAGATAAGCAATAGCCTAGGAGTTTTCGGTGACTACAAATATGCTCTCATCCGCTAGGTTCGCTGTATCTGTTTACATTACGCTTAATGCAAACAGATACAGTGAACCTAGCTAAATCCTTAGTTTCTTAAAATTTGTATGAGGTTGAATAACTATTCTATTATTTTATATATTATATTTATAATTTACAATAACATTAACATAATTACACATTTTATTATTTGTACAGGATACAATGGTAATTATGAATTTTGTTGATCACGAATACCTTAATAGATACAAATAATAATAATATATAATATAATTATTTCTTTTATTATCCTGTTTTAGTGTTAATTATTGTTAAAAGTTGTAATATGAAATAATTAAAAAATGTGGAAATCTGTTCTTATGGATTTCGATAATAATAAGATGATCGATTTTCACTATAAAAAGGAACTTTTATAAATAAATAATAATTAAACAATACAATAAATACTTATAAAAGGAATATCTGCTCTATTTTTAAAAAAAATACCACCCAAAACAATAATACTTTTGTCATATATATTCAATTCTATACTCCGTCTTTCTTACATGCCATCTATTTGGAAACATGCTCAAATAATACTCATCCACAAACCAGGCAAACCTCCTGAAAACCCATCCTCCTACCGTCCCATAAGCCTTCTGTCTGTCATAGGAAAACTATTTGAAAAAATACTTCTAAAAAGAATTACAAAAATTGCCACAGTTAATAAAATTATACCTGATTTCCAATTCGGCTTCAAATCTAAACACTCCACAATCCACCAACTGCATAGAGTTGTCGATCAAATCTCATCAGCATTCGAGAGCAAACAAATCTGCATTGGTATTTTCCTAGATATCGCACAGGCTTTCGACCGAGTCTGGCACCCCGGCTTACTTTTTAAATTAAAATCCTTCTTGCCTGCTCCGTACTACCTACTAATTAAATCTTATCTAAACCAACGAACACTTGTCACAAAAATTAACGGCACCTTTTCCAACACTCAAATAGCAACTGCTGGTGTTCCCCAAGGCAGTGACATAGCTCCTTTCCTATTTAACGTCTTTACCAGCGACCTACCTCTAAACGAAAACACACTACTTGGTACGTTCGCGGATGACACTGCTATTCTTGCTACTGACAAAGATCCCATCCATGCTGCCCAAAAAATCCAAAACCACCTAAATGTTCTAAACAACTGGTTTCACGACTGGAAAATCCAAGTTAACCCATCAAAATCTTCTCAAATTACCTTCACACTTCGATCCTTAGAATGTCCCGCAACCTTTATCGGCAATGAACAAATTCCATCCTCCACGCAAACTATATTTGGGTTTAATTCTTGACAAACGCCTTACATGGGGTCCCCACTTAAAAAACAAGCGTAAAGCTCTCAATTCAAGACTCCACCTTCTTAGACCCTTACTCCGCTCAAAGCTCTCATTAAAAACTAAAAGAACAATATACATGGCTCTTCTAAGACCCATGTGGTACTATGGCATACAACTTTGGGGATCAGCCAAACCCTCAAATACTAGAACAATACAGGCGTTTCAGTCTATTTGTCTACGTTTAATATCTGGTGCCCCATGGTATATTACCAATGAATCACTCCATAAAGACATCTGCATTCCAACCTTAAACAGCCTTGCCAAAATCACCTATAAAAAAACACACAAAACATTCAGTACTCACTCTAATCCTATAATCACCCAACTTTCATCATATCAAATTCCAGGTAATCCACCCAGGCACCTGAAAAGGAACTGGTGTAGGGACCTACTTTCTCCTTAAATCGCTTCCACGGGGTGCCGACACTGGGTGACTTCCCCCTCCTGTAAACCAAATCGTCATCACATTTACTTATTGTATCACATGTAAACACAGATTGTAAATATATTATGTTTGTTCAATAAAAAAAAAAAAAAAAAAAAAAAAAAAAAGGAATATCAATTTTAACTCATATCATATCATATCTAACTCGGAGGTTTTTGTCACATGTTGAGCATTTGTAGGAAACAGAAAGCATCTAAATTTCTTGATAACTGAAACTTTGTTTGTTTGATTACACGGGGGACACTATGATATTTATCTTAGTGAAGTGTTAAAAAATTGCAAAGATGTTTTTGTTGCTGACTTTTCATATTTCTAGAAGTATGATCAAGTGACTGTAGTAATTTATTTTATTTCCACAATAAAAGTAATCTACTGAGTATGTCTTATAGAACACAAACTCTCATGTTTTGATTGGAAAGTGTGAAACCCTGTTTTGTTAGATTGATATTTAACTGGATCAGTAGAGAGCTTAACACAAACATTTTACTTTTCCAACAGTAATATTTACCTTTTACAATTTCTTTAAATTAGCTACAGAAAGTTTCAAGCAATTGACTAAGTGAATAAAGTTTGATTTAGGTGTTTAACTTGTGATAACAGGTTTCAAAGAGATTATTTGTACCATATTGTCGATTCATTTATCAGGATTGTCGGTTACTTTGAGCTCGTTTGAAAACAATGATAAGTATTTGGTTCCAGCCTTTTTCCACTTTCAACGACCTTGGAAAGTCTATAACTATTCTATCAACAAAGGTCGTTATAAGAAATTAAACAACTGCTAGAACAAGATGTCAAAATAAAACCGAGAATAAATGAATAACCAACTGTATCTAGGCAGTGATTGGAAAGAACGAATCCTGTTTTACATGAACGAGCCACGAACGCGTTCAATCAAGGAATATTTGAAAGTGTTAGATTATTACACGAACGCGAACGACTTTTTTCGTTAATTTAAGGTTCATTCGATAAAAATGTATCACTCATTCTTATCACTCCAGAACACGGTCTTAGAAGATAAGGTCCATAATAAATAATATAAATTAATAATATTTGATGTCTAAAGATTTCCTAGCAACACTGAACGTATAATGGACTCGTTCTTTTTTCAACGAACATGAACATTCCAAACACTGAGTGTAGGTCTTCTTGGAAAATTAACCAGCGAAATAAGGTATTAAGAAATT